CAAAAACCAGTGGATTTTCTGTACACCAGCAATGAGAAATCTGAAAGTGAAATTAGGGAAACAATTCCATTTTCAATATAATCTAAGAGAACAAAATATCTAGGAATAAATCTAACCAGGGACATGAATAACTCATACAATGAAAATTATAAAGCCCTGCTGAAAGGTTAAAAAGGACTTAAATAAATGAAAATACGTCCCATGTTCATGGATTGTAAACTTAATATTGTAAGATGTCAATACTACCAGAATGACCTATATATTCAAAGCAATCCCAACCAAAATTCCAATTGCCTTGTTTACAGAAACAGAAAAACCAGTCCTCAACTTTATATAGAATGGCAAGAGTCCCAGAATAGCTAAAGCAGTGTTGAAAGAAAGAACAAGGTAGGAAGAGTCACACTTCCAGACTTTAACACATGCTAAATAGCTACACTAATCAAAACAGCCTGTTGCTGGTAAACTAATAGACACATAGACCAATGGAACATAAGTCAGAGTCCAGAAATACACTCACACATTTATGGTCAACCCATTTTATGACAAGAGTGGTAAGTCCGTCCAATGGGGAAAGAAGAGTCTCTTCAATAAATGGTGCTGGGAAAACTAGATTGCCACATGCAGAATACTAAAGAGGATTCATGCCTCACATTATATACAAAAATAAATTCAAAATAGATTAAGGGCCTAAATGTGCAAACTCAAACCATAAAATTCTTAGAAGAACAAGCAAGTATAGTGTGGTCAGTCCCAGCTTTCAGCAACAGATTATCTAATACAATAACAAAAGCACAAACAAGTACAAGACAAATAGATCAATGGGACCTCATAAAAATTAAAATTTTTTCTCATCAAAAGACTTTACCAAAAAAGTGAAAAGATGAGCTACTGACTGGGAGAATATATTCAGAAATCATATGTCCAACAAGAATTTAATAACCAAAATATATATAAAACTTTGACAATTTAACAGCAAAGAGACAAATAACACAGTCATAAAATGGGCAAAGAACTTAAATAAACATTTCACCAAAAAGGACATTTAATGACCACCAAACATGTGAAAAGATGTTCAGTGTCATTAGCCATCAGAGAGGCACCAATCAAAATTACAATGAGATACCATTCACTCCCACTAATCAAGGAAGGTTGGGCAATCCTACTTTCGTAGTGATACTGCCTCGGAAACCCAAGGAGGGGTCGCTATGAGTCAGGGCCGACTCAAAGGCACATAACAACAACAACAACAATCTTACAATGGCTAAGATAAAAAATAAATAACAAATATTGGCAAGAATGTGGGGAAATACAGCCATTGTGGAAAACAATATGGCAGATCCTTAAAAAGCTAAAAATAGAACTACCATATGACCCAGCAATTCCAATCGTAGGTGCACACCCAGAAGACTTGAAAGCATAGACTCAAAAAGATGTGTACACCAATGTTCGTTGCAGCACTATTGACAATAGTCAGAAGGTGGAAACAACATGAATGTCCATCAATAGATGAATGGATTAGCCAAATGTGGCACATGTGTACAATAGAATACTGCTCAGCCAGCAGGAGAAACGAAGTCTTGATACATGGTACATATGTATAAGACTTGAAGACATTATGCTGGGCAAATCAATCAGTCACAAAAGGACAAACATTGCATGACCTCACTTCTATAAAAAGACAAGAAAAGACAAATACATGGAGAACAAAGTTTATTTATGGTTACCAGGGACGTGAGGGAGGGGAAAAACAAGGGTTAACAATGATGGAAATATCACATTGATTAGGGGTAAGTTTGCACAGCTGGTTATTGTAATTACTGTCAATAAATTGTACACCTATAAAAAGTGAATTGGCAAAAGTGGTGTGATAGATATATTTACAGCAATGACAGAATAAAGAGTAGCTGCTAAGGCTTATGTACAGCCAAACACCCCATCAGATTTGGTTCGTTGGCTTGGAGGATTAGCGTCATGGTTTCATGGGTCATCCCCGTTTATTGGCCTAATAATGTGTTTAGTGCTTCCATTTTACCTCCTAGTTCATTGTGTAGTGCCTGGGGTCTTAAAAATTTGCAAATGTCCATCCAAGACACAATAATCAGTCTCTATTCACCAGAAAAACAGAGGAAGGAGAGTCAGGAATAAAAGGAGGATATGGAATGTGTGGCTAATTGCCGGCATGAACAACTCCCTCCTTTGCCACGAAACCAGAAGAACTGGATGTTATCTGGTTACCATTATTAAACATTTGGATCAAAAATTCCATATAAGAATCCTGATAA